GAAAGAAACTAACACTGAGGTGTTATAAATTCTACTCATGAAGTGTAATAAAACCACAGTGGTAAATATCAGTTCCTTGCTTACTTATGATGATCATATATATATATATATATATATATGTATGTATATATATATATGTATATGTGTGTGTGTATATGTTTGTTTGCTTTTCACTTTTTGCATGTTTTAGAATTTTATTATTAACAAAACTTGCCCTGCTATGGGGCTAATATCTGTAAAATGAACTGTAACTGTATCGAACATTGGAAATTGAACTTTTTTTATGGCTTCAAGTATGTGTCTATACAAAAACTGACCAAAATAACCCTGAATAATTGTTGTTGTGGTTATTTTATAATAATAATAATAATAATAATAAAATGATATTTAACTCAGTGGAACCAGACATTTTAGCAGTTCTTTAGGTAAAAATGTTTGTACAATTATCTGTATGTCTACACAAAAACTAAAGAAAATAAATCCAGTCTGAATAAAAAACAAAAATAAAAGAAATTACTACTACTACTAATAATAATAATGTAATAATGATAATAAGTGATATTTAACTTGGTTATCCAGATTTTTTTTAGGTGTTGCTTAGCTAAAATATTTGTATAATTATCTGTATGTGTCTATACAGAAACTGACCAAAATAACTTAATATAAAACTAAATAATACCCAGAACACCATGAATAATAAACAACATTAGAAATAATTAATAATAATAATAACAAATGGATATTTCACACATTACTATAACTAATCATGACAATATTAAATCATTACAAATATTTCTAAATATTTAGATTTTTTTTATAAAATGTACTATGGGATATTAAGGTATTATAATATTCTTTGAGTACTTTGGAGTACTATCTAAATACAGTAGTAAATGAATATGAGGTTGAAGATGATCTACATATATGCTCAAATTAAACATTGTTTACACGATACCCTGCAGGAAGTGGCCAGCAATCAGTAACAGGCGTGGATTTGGCCGATGATGCCAACAGCTACTGGCATATCCGTGGGAAACCAGACAAAGTTTGTCAGCGCGGGGAGCCTATTCGATGCGGACAGGCCATCCGAATTACACACATGAAGACCGGACGCAACCTACACTCACATCACTTTAGCTCCCCACTGTCTAACCACCAAGTAGATCCACACAACACTCTTCTATCTTAACCTACATGTTCAGGTGACTGTAACTGACTGGATTTGAATTATATCATCGTGCTGATTTGTTTTATGTTTGTAGGAAGTGAGTGCGTTTGGCGAAAACGGAGAAGGAGATTATTTAGACGTATGGAGCGTGCAGTGCAGTGCAACGTACTGGGAACGTGATGACGTGGTGCGATTCAAACATGTCGCCACTGAGGTTTTCCTCAGTGTAACCGGAGAGCAGTACGGTCAACCAATCAGAGGCCAGCGTGAGGTCCATGGAATGCCTTCATCCAATCAGCATAACTACTGGAAGGTGATGGAGGGGGTTTTTATTCAGCCCAGCAGTGATCCAGTGCGCCACGACGAGCTCTGATGATGCCGCTGCATTATGGTAGCGAGCGACTGAGAACTCCACTCACACATGCTGTGAAACCCTCTCTATGTATATATAAACCTTCAGCTTCTATAAAGTTTTACATTTATTGGTCAAACAATTTTTGAGACAAAAGTCACCCACAAAATGAACATCACAGACAAAAAGGCAAAAAGGTTTGTTTTACAAGATTTCTTATGATTGGAATGTGTTTGTTTGTACATAAGGGAATAAAATTACATTACAAACCAGGATTTTATGCTTCAAAACTGAGTATTTTGTATTATTTATATTTAGGTTGGATTACTACTGGAACAAATGGCATTGTACTATAAAATAGTGTTTTTGCGCCTGTGAAATCCTGTAATCTTTCTGAACTCAGTGGGGGAAAAATATGAAATGACTGTTTTGGTTTAAGTTTTCTGTTACTGTAATTCCCAATAGTTGTTTTCCACCTCATACTGTATATAACCCAATATGTACATAATTTGGTGAAACCATAAATAAAGTTTTTTGAAAACATACTGTAGGTATTTTTTATTTGAGTTAGAACAACTAATATGTTTTAAAGAACCATATAATTAAACAATTATGAACAAGCAGATACATTGTTGTGATGCCCAATTTCTGAATCCAAGTCAATAAATACTCCACACCATCTAGACGTTATTAAAGATTACTCTAAAAATACAAATGCAATCACCTGACACGGTGATTATTTCTGCTCATCTCACTTTTCTGGAAAATGAAAGATGACACACAGCATCCAAATGGGGGCAGCATTTAGCTACTGTTTGGCACATACTGCATGAACATTGAAAAGAAAGCAATATCACTGTGAAATGTGTGACTAGGACTGTAAACAATATGTGTAATAATACACAGTGACGGAAGGACAGTGAGGACAAATAACTAACCGTTACATATTGGAATAATGAAACGCTGAACATCGATATTACCAAACGAAAACTGCTGTTTTTAAGAATATATTTTGTTAAACGTACAGTTAATTCTTACAGTTTGTTAATAAAACAAACAAACAGCTTACTAACTCTCTAATGCTTTATTGTTTATATATTTACTGTTTATATAAATATGTTTTGATACTTTTTTTAACCCTAACCAGGTTGGTTTTAATCAAATCTTTACAAAAATTCACCATGGTAAGCACAGTTTCCGCCAAAATATTGTTATTACAATAAACCTGTCATTAAATTTAAACAAAATGAAAGATTCTGCTTACGCAGTTTAAATCAGATGTCAAATTAATTTATTATGGGTTTACTGTAGTATTCACTGAATGAAAACAGTTAAAGTGGGATACTTTCTAATAAGTTGTTCCAAATGGTTTAGCCTCGTAGATATGTCACAATGTAAACAGCAACGGCAATACGCAAAAAGGAAGAAATATTAAAAATAACTTAAAATGCTTCCCCGAACACGTAGATCACTGATTTGACTAAATAAGTTATTAGATGTACATTTTCAAATTGCACTGTTTGAACTTCCTTACTGATACCGTAAGCTTATTCTATCCTTCTCACTATATTTTACTGTTTGTAAACTTTGATATTTAAATAGTTTTGCCTCAGTAGGTTTTGTAATTTGACTTACCATAGTGTTTCCCACCACTGCTGTTCAAATATGATCCTGTTATAGATCTGTAATATGACTCGCCTCCCTGAATGATGTCAAAACCAAAGGATCTCTTTTATATCTTCCTTCTATTTTAGGATGATGCTGATTTGAGTGATGGAAAAATCCACATAATGATGATTAAACCGATTAGATGAATAACAATGTCCCACTTTACCCGTTTAAGCAGAAACCAGTAAATATTTGAAGAGACCAATGAATGAAAAAGCATATAAAACATCTGGTAAGACTTATAATAACATTATGGATCATTACTACATGATGATGCTCAACATACACTCTTAAAATCTTTCACGATGCCATAGAAGAACCTTTTTGTCTAAATGGTTCCATAAAGAACCTTTAACATCTGAAGAACCTTTCTGTTTCACAAAAGGTTCTTTGTGGTGAAAGAAGGTTCTTCAGATTACAAAAAAGGTAAGAAAGAGATGGTTCTTTAAAGAACCTTTGACTGAATGGTTCTTTGTGGAACCAAACATGGTTCTTCTATGGCATCGCTTGAAGAACCTTTCGAAGCACCTTTATTTTTAAGAGTGTATTATAGTAATTAGCAGACAATTAAACTTCTAGATTAAATATATGAACTTTTATTATATGTTAAATAGGCTTACATTTTCATACTGCTTATTTACACTTCAATTTACACGAGCTAATAATATCTTAAGCATTATCGAATTTAATGTTTGTTCCTGATTTATTAATCAAAATAAAATTAAGAGTTGTCAAACATATTTAACGATGTTATTTTAATTAATGTTAATTTTATAAGTTTCACAGACGTGTACGAATTTTAAACTTAATTTTAATAAATTGTTGTATAAACATTTTTTTCCCCCTTTGATAGTTAAAACACACACACACACACACACACACTTGTACAGCAAGAGGCAGCGGGCTGAAGGCAACCCACTTTGTTTTTTGTCTTCCCAGAAGATGGCGACATAATATAACACAGGGTTTGCGTAGTCAGCTAGCAGTCACCCATTATGAACTCTATCATCTGAGAGCGATTCATTTAATATGGTACAAAAATGTGTCTTTTCATCTAAACTGAGCTGCATCTGTATTAAAGACACTTGTTTTTATTCTCTTCATATAGGCCTATTATGCTTAGCATGGCTATCTAGATCCACTACAATTGAACCGAATGTGCCTTCATTGTCGATTCTACACATTTATTGCAGTTGTTTGTCAACATAAATTATTACTACGCATCATATTAAAAAAGAACCTGTTAACTGGCTGTCACCATATCTGAGACACAATCTTGACGCAGTGTCATATACTGCACTGAGGGAGCCTAGTGTCACGTGGTTTAAATAGCTCAAACGTTCTCTATTGCACTATTATCAAATTAATAGCTGAACTGAGAATCCACACGGATGGGGCAGCCATGAAAACACGTCCTCACAGGTTCAAGTGAAGAGCTATGAAAAAACATCGTACTCAAGAGAAGACAAGCATTAAGGTTACAGCATAAATGCGATCACGAGAGTGACCAGGAAATTGAAGTGTCTGGCGTCGAAATATTGTGAACCACTTCTGTGAACCGAGCGACTGGATCTGAAATATGAGTTCAGAAATCACCTTGAATTGCAAAATTGTACCCATGGCAATTTAAGAAACACAGAAAGCACAAAAGACATATCCCACATGAAAAAAATACTATAGTAATTTATAGTAATACTATAGTGTTTTTGAACCATACTATAGTAAAGTACTTGAATTAATTTGTTGTGGTAATTCTATAGTTGCTGTGGTAACATAACAACTATAGTAATAAAAACAAATTACTCCACCCAATACTGACCTAAGTTTTCTACAACTATAGGGTATATTATACCACAATACACAACAGTTTACCGTAGTAAAAACTAAAGTATGCTACAGTATTTATTACCGTTTATCAGTTCACTATACAGTATGCTGTAGCATTCATTAACAAAGTGTTGTAAATACTATAACATACACAGTATAATACACTTTACTATAGTATGGTTAAAAAACACTATAGTATTTACTATAAATTACTATAGTATTTTTCCATGTAGGATAATTGGTCATATTAGCAGTAAATTAATGCAAATTCATTTAAAAAAATTAAGTGTTTAAGGACCATTCACACCAAGGGCGATAACTATAACGATAACGATATTTAGTTTTAAAATAGTTGTAAGTGTTAGAATTAGAATAGCAAAGTCCATACCACAACTACGATAATGGCACAGAGGAATTATATCATTGGAATCCTTTTCACAACATTATTTTTTCCAGCTGATGAAGCATAATACATTGACAGCCAATCAGAATCCATGCGATTTTAAAGAGTGCATGCTTTTAAAGAGATAGTGGTGCGTGATACAGTAAACAGAACGTTATTGGTTATCGTTATCGTTCTTGGCCTGAAAGGACCTTTATTCCAGTCATTTAATATATATAAAAAAGATGTTGTGGATTTTCAACAAGCATTTGGAGATGCAAAATCAGAACAAACCTATAAACCTAATCAAATATAATCGAGCAACCAAAGCTACTGCATGACACTTCTATAAATCTCATAAAACTCTCTTACAAGAAACTACAAAAGTAAAATGTTTAATGCAAGTACAATTTATGGACAGCATCCTATCTGAAAATACAATGACATTTTAATGCTGCCATACACTTTAAACAAAAAATAATAAAATGACATTTAATTTCACAAGCAGGCAAAATAATTTTTTTCTGCAACAGCATTTAAATAAGAAAAAAAACAATTCTAAAAATCTCATAAAACTCTCTTACAAGAAACTACAAAAGTAAAATGTTTAATGCAAGTACAATTTATGGACAGCATCCTATCTGAAAATACAATGACATTTTACTGCTGCCATACACTTTAAACAAAAAAGAATAAAATGACATTTAATTTCACAAGCAGGCAAAATAAAAAAGTTTCTGCAATTAACAGCATTTAAATAAAACAAACAAAAAAACCATTTACTTATTTAATGCATTTTGCTTTTATTGAAGACTGATTATGTACAGAGCAAATTAATGATTTGCCAAAGCAAAAATCTATTTTATTCCTCATTTGTATTTAAAGTTGCTTAAAAGTCGATAAAGACATCTGCTAAATAAATGAATGTAATACCAACCACCACTTACGGAAGGTATATGGACAGATTAGTGCTTTGCGGCTCATCTGGGTTGAAGCATGCAGGAGAAGCATGTCATTTGCGGTAAATAAGGGATAGGTGTGTGTTTGGTGGTCTGGTCCAGTGGACTGATGCCCTTTCATTATTGCACTGCTAGCTGCAGCTCCCACAGTAGTGCAACAGGGAAAGAGTGTCAGGCAACAGACAAACAATGGGACCAAGAACATGCTCACACAAACAGTATGTTGTTCATATTACACTAAATTTTTATAATTTCTAAATAGCCAAATGCTTTCCAGCCATTTCAGGTGGTCTAAAAAAATAAAACACTAATTCAACAGCCTTTAGAA